TTTTTAATCTCTCTGGCAAGCTGTTCCATACGCCTAATCATTTTTGTTGCCCTTCTCTGCACCTTATCCATTTCCAGTATATCTTTTTTGAGATGGGGGTGGGGGGAACCAGAACAGCACACTGTATTAAAGGTGTGTGCATAAAATGGATTTATATAGTGGCACTATGATCTTTTCTATCTTATTATCCATCCCTTTCCTAATGGTGTCTAACATTCTGTTAGCTTTTTAGACTTTCGCTGCACATTAAGCAGATGTTTTCAGAGAACTATCCACAATGACTTCAAGATCTCTCTCTTGAGTGGTAACTGCTCATTTAGATCACATCATTTTGTATTTAGAGTTGGGATTATATTTTCCAATGTGCCTTAGTTTGCATTTATCAACCTTGAATTTCATCTGTCATTTTGTTACTCATACACCCAGTTTTGTGAGATCCCCACTGTTACTCTTTGCAGTCTGCTTTAGACTTAACTATACTGTATCATCTGCAATCTTTGCCACCTCACTATTTACTCCTTTTTCCAGATCATTTATAAATATGTTGAACAGTACAGATCACTGGAGGACACTGCTATTCACCGCTCTCCATTCTGAAAACTGACCATTTATTCCTATGCTTTGTTTCCTGTCTTTTAACCAGTTACTGATCCATGAGATGACTTTCCCTCTTTCCCATGACTGCTTATTTTGCTTAACAGCATTTGGTGAAGGATCTTGTCAAAGGCTTTCTGAATGTCCAAGTACACTATATCTACTTGTAGCGAAGTGAAGACTCACCAGCATGTCGCCTCCTGCTGGTCATCTGTGAATTAGCTCTCCAGCATACAGAGCGCCTCCTACTTGCCAGTGTCTCACCTGCCACTGGCCCCCATGTCCCTCCTGGACCCCAGTGCCCTTTTCCTCAGGGTTTTGCCCACCACAGTACCCCCAACACTCTGGGTCTCCCCTCCCACAGGAACCCCAACCCTCAAACCCACCTTGCCTCAGAGGCTACTGCCAGTCATCATCTAGCCCCCGCTCACTGGGGCAGACTGCAGTCTGTAATGGCCACTCATCATTGGCAAGGGGTTAGGACCTGCTGCTTCTGCCTATTCCCAGGCTGCACCTCTGTAACCCCAGTACCTTCATAGGCCTTCCACAAGCTCCCTTTGCCTTTGCTCTGTTCTGCTCTGCTCTGCTTCAAGTACCTTGCTCCCAGGCAGCTAGCCCTTCCCACTCCAGGGCTAGAGTAAGACTCCTACAGCTCCTGGCCCACAGCCCTCTTATCAGGGCCAGCTGGGCCCTGGTTGAGCTGGCCACACCTGTGGTCAGCTACTCACTCAGCTGCTCTCACTGCTTTTAATCCCTTTTACCCAGGAGTGGGGCAGCCACCCCACTATACTACTGCATCACCCCTTTCCATATGTTTGTTGAACCCCTCTAAGAATTCTAATAGATTGGTGAGGCATGATTTCCCTTACATAAGCCATACTGACTCTTTCCCAACAAACCGTGTTCGTCTATGCATCTGATAATTCTGTTCTTCACTATAGTTTCAATCAATTTGCCTGATACTGAAGTTAGGTTAACCAGTCTGTAATAGTCAGGATCGCCTTTGGGGCCTCTTTTAAAAATTGGCATCACATTGGCTATCCTCCAGTCATCTGGTACAGAAGCTGTTTTAGGCAATTGGTTTACATTCCACAGTTAGTAGCTCTGCAATTACATATGTGAGTTCGTTCAGAACTCTTGGATGAATACCATCTGGTCCTGGTGACTTATTAATGTTTATCTATTTGTTCCAAAACCTCCTCTATCAACAACTCAATCTGGGACAGTTCCTCAGATCTTTCACCTAAAAAGAATGGCTCAGGTGTGGGAATCTCTCCCACACCCTCTGCAGTGGAGAGACAGATGCAAATAATTCATTTAGCTTCTCTGCAATGGCCATATCTTCCTTGAGTGCTCCTTTAATACCTGGATTGTCCAGTGGCCCCACTGATTGTTTGGCAGGTTTCCTGCTTGTGATGTATTTAACTTTTATTTTTTTTGTCTGTTAGTTTATGTGTCTTTTGCCAATTGCTCTTCAAATTTATTTTTGCCCTACGTAATTATACTTTTACACTTGACTTGCCAGAGTTTGTGGTCCTTTCTATTTTCCTCAGTAGGATTTGACTTTCAATTTTTAAGGGATACCCTTTTGCCTCTAACTGCCTCTTTTATTCTTTTGTTTGGCCATGACAGCATTTTCTTTTAGTCCTTTTTTTTTTAAATCTGGAGTATACATTTAATTTGACCCCTTTTATGGTGTTTTTAAAGAGTTTCCATGCAGCTTCCTGGAATTTCATTCTTGTGACTATTCCTTTTGATTTCTGTTTAACTAGCTTCCTCATTTTTATGTACTTTCCATTTTTTAAGTTAAATGCTACAGTGGTGGGCTTCTTTGGTATTTTGCCCCCCACAAGGATTTTAAATTAAATTACATTATGGTCACTATTATCAAGCAGTTCAGCTATATTCACCTCTTGGACCAGATCCTGATTTTAGGAGCAATAGGCAGATTTGCTGTTTATAGATTGAAGACCAGTAGGGGGGGGCCATCTGTGGACTGTTGTGTTTGTGTATATTCCCACATAATCAGAATAGCACAATAATCCAATCAGAATCCAGCTGTACAATTACATACTTTATAAACATTAATAATTTTCGCCTCAGAGTATATTGTCCTGGTGAGGTAGCAAGTACTATATTATTCTAATGTTACAGATGGGAAAACTGAAGCAGAGAGGTTCAGTTACCTGGTCAGAGTCACACTGCCTGTCAATGGGACAGCCAACTGCTCAACAATGCTGCCTTTTTACATCTGATAATGTGAATAATGTAATGTTTCCTGCTTAAACCACTAGAATGTAGAGAATTAATATAAACTGGGTTTCTAAAAATAACCATGCACAAATGCAGGAAAATTTACCTGCCATGACCTCAGGTGATTGGAAGAATTCATCAGGATGAAGGTAACCTGTCTGAGGAAGAAGACACCAGAAAATTCGGAGCAGAGCAAGAATCCCCCAAAAAGTCTTGGCTGACATCCTAAGTTCATTCCACTTGCCAGAACTGAATGGGCAAAGTCACAGACTTGGACTATTAGAAACATCAGTTGCCATGGGATCAGTAACTTTGACCCTGAAATGGACAAAAAGTTTATTACAAGAATAAATCTTGCCCATCAAAGAGAGCAAAACATTGTCAATCATTCCTAAAACTATAAAGCAAAGATAGACGGAAGTATGAATGAAAACTAATTAGGGATAAAGTCTCCCCTCTGATGTACAGGTTTATGGCTAATATTGGCCTTGAATAGGTGACAACCTTGCACAGCCAAGTGTGGAATTTGGCCTTTATGGAGACATTCTCACAGCTGGGCACACAGGATGTACACACAAAAATATGGATATACCTATCACACCTTTTTCCTTAAAAACATGAAGTAACTGTAGGCCCCCCAGTACCCATTTGCAAGCTCATTTTACTCAATTTGCATGCTCAAAGAGTGTATCCGCATTTTTACAGACTTACTTACTGTGCTCAGCTGTGAAAATAGATTATTTCCTAATAAAATTAATACAACCCACTTAAAACTATGAGAGCATGTACAATATGAGTATAGGGACAGCCCAACAGGAATGAATGGACAGCATTTCTTTCTTTCAATATACATAGATTAAACGTTTATCGATTTTCATAAAGAAACAGACAATGAAAAGTACAAAAATGTAAATGACTTACAGCTTGTATGTTTCCAACGACAGTTTATATTTCTTAAGGTACAGTGACACTTTGATACTCTTAGACCTTGCCTACACAACAGCAAAGTATAGTTCTAAGACCCATTTGGGCCTCCTAATATACGTGTAAAATACCTTGAGTCCACAGACGAAAGTGCTCAAACAGTATACGTGCATGTTTGGATTAGACACAAATTAAAGACATCTCATTGTGATCAGAAGTCATTACTCCAAGAGCAGAAAGGCCCCTATATAAAAAATGACACTCCCCCGCCCCCAAATTGAGATTTTAGAATGAAAAGACTTTATTCTGACTGAGTTAAAGTCCAATGTTTCACCTAAATTATGTGCGAAAATAATGCTGGTGAAAGTTGAGTAGATTAAGGGGGGGAGCAATACAAGTGCAGCTTGTGCATTGTTAGTTCATCATTGTTAGTTCTTAATTGTTAGTTTTAAGTGATTTCTATGTTAGCTTTTATAGGATTTCTGTAGCTTTTAGCTCTAGCGTCTTCTAAGTCCTGGAGGTAAAATTTAGGCTGCTAGGTAAGAGACTGAAGTCCAGGACCTTCACGGTAGCATTCTCTGAAATGCTTCCAGTTCCAAAAGCAGGGCCAGTTAGACAGGCAGAACTGCAGGGTCTCAATGTGTGGATGAGACGATGGTGCTTGTGCCCGCCTACCTCCCAGGCTTTGAAATAAGCCAGTCCTTCCACTCTGAGTGGCCTGGTAAGGGGGTGGGGAGAGGGAGGGTTGGAGAAGGGGCAGGAGGTCCCGGGGGGGCAGTCAGAGGACAGGGAGTGGTTGGATGGGGCGGAGGTTCTGGGGGGGCAGTCAGGAGACAGGGAGCGGGGGGGGTGTTGGATAGTGGGTGGGGTCGTTGGGAGGGGGCAGTCAGGGGACAAGGCGCGGGGGGGTTGAATGGAGAGGTCCCGGGAGGGGGTGGTCAGGGGACAAGGAGCAGGGGGGGTTGAATAGGGAGTGGGGTCCTGGGGGGGCAGTTAGGGGTGGGGGTCCCGAGAAGGGGCGGTCAGGGGACAAGGATCAGTGGGGGTTGGATGATGGTAAAGGAGAGGTGGGGGGGCGTGACGGTTTCTCAAAAATTAAAAAGGGGATGTGATGCCAAAAAGTTTGGGAACCACTGTTCTATACCTTGGGGGAGCATGCTGTAACCCCTGTATTCCTCGTTTTCATCTAATCATTATCTGACGTATAAAGCATGCCTTGTAAGGTATCAGGAGAAAGGTTATGATCTGCTGAAAGTAATTTCTCTATCCATATATGTATATCATTAATGCATATGATGTTTTGAGAATTGTGTAGTATGATTATCATTAAAACATGCTGTAAGTTGGGGAATCAGCCAGCTATTAGCTCCCCAGAAGCAACACCAAAGAAAGTAACCGGCACCTGGGTGGGGTGTCAATCAACCCATCAACAGCCATTGTCCAGCAAGGGAGCTACAATGCAGTAACTCATCTGCATGAGGTCACACCACGGGAATTGCTCAACCTTGCTTGGAGAGACTCAGTAATGCTCACCTGACTCTGAAGGGGGAGCAAAGCCAAGAGGGAAGAAAGGACATGATAAAAGGTAGAGACATTTGCCATGCTGGCTCTCTCTCTTCCACCTGCATCTACAGACACCACACCACCGCTAAGCAACTGAAGCGCTGATCAAAGGGGAGAGCCTGGTTGAAGAGCAGTCAGCCTGTGGTGGTAAGCCTGTCCTCGCTTACACACAGCCTCCCAACCTGAAGCAAATACTCACCAGCAACTACACACCACACAACAAAAACACTAACCCAGGAACCAATCCCTGCAACAAACCCCGTTGCCAACTCTGTCCACATATCTAGTCAAGGGACACCATCATAGGACATAACTACATCAGGCACACCATCAGGGGCTTGTTCACCTGCACATCTACCAATGTGATCTATGCCATCATGTGCCAGCAATGCCCCTCTGCCATGTACATTGGCCAAACCAGACAGTCTCTACGCAAAAAAATAAATGGACACAAATCAGACATCAAGAATTATAACATTAAAAAACCAGTAGGAGAACACTTCAATCTCCCTGGACACTCAATAACAGTCTTAAAAGTGGCAATACTTCAAGAAAAAAAACTTCAAAAACAGACTCCAACGAGAAACTGCAGAACTGGAATTAATTTGCAAACTGGACACCATCGAATTAAGCATGAATAAAGACTGGGAGTGGATGGGTCACTACAAAAACTAATTTCCCCCTGCTGATACTCACACCTTCTTGTCAACTGTTTGAAATGGGCCACCTTGATTACATT